CCTCAAAGCTCCAAAGATTTGAAAGATTTCCAGTGTGCTTTAGCACAAGGTATAAGAATAATATTTTGAAAGTGTTACTTCAAAAACATTTTTAATAAAGATTTTGAAATTTGTTATATAGAATGCACTTAAAAAGACAAATTTATAATTTGATTTTTAAAAATTTGATCTTATTATAATACTTCATAAATATTACAATAATTTGAATTTAAAAGATTGGCTTCTGGAAATATCTATCACTAAATAGGTATTTTTTTACTTGTTATTCAGCTTGGATTTAAAGATACTATAAAGTGCATACTTCCCTACATTTCTCCACCAGTGTATTTCAACCTTAATCTTGAAAGAACTGTGTCTAATGGTGTAAAGATATTTCAGGTTATGTGTTATTTAATCTGAGTTCTCTTGTGCAAAGTGATATATTCCATGATAAAACAGAGTTATAAATGTTTTTAAAAATCTCAAACAATATGTGTCAGCTCTTTTGCATTTTTGCTTTTTTTCTTGTAAGTCACAGTGACACACACCCCCAAATTTTGTGACTTTTTATACTTCTTTTACATATAAGCTTCAAATTTTGAACATTTTTATTGTAATATTAGGTGCTGTAAATATAATGTCCCCTCCTTATCTCATGTGGTATTTGCCACCAAGGAATATTATAGCTTAGGGATTTCAGGAGTAGTCACTTCTTTTTCATGATATGTCATTTGCATTTTATCTTTTTCTATTTTGTTGTTGGGTGGCCTTTCAAAGAAATTAATAAACTTCATGTAGTTGGCAGCAAGTATAGCAACACAGAATTTAGGCACTCCCTAAATTCAATCAGAGTTTAGATAAAACACAGCCTACATTAATGTATGGGTGCTGTTATAACCTCTATTAATATAGTTGAAAGCCGTCAGGCACCAGTGATTCTCAGAAACATAAAAAAGTTTGTATTAAAAATCACTGAACAGTACAAAAAAGGGAACAATACATATAAATTAAATTCAATGCTCAAACTTTATTAAATACCTCTCTTTATAAAAGATGGCCTATGTTTGCATGCATTCCATGTTGCAGTAAACACAAGGTTTTAACTGGGAGTGTTCAGATGCTTAGCTCTTTTTCTATGATTTTTCTCTTTATATTAAAAGAATATGGATTTTTACCCAAAACACTAATGTACTTTTATTTTCATAGTGTTAGGGGCCCTTTTAAAGGAAGTTAGTAATAAGAATGGCAATATTTACTGTTGTCTGCATTTGAGTGGTTCACAGCTGAGCACTCCTCTTGTGTATTCAGTGACAAATGGCAATCACTTTATCATTTATCTTATGACAAATAGCAGATTCAGCCGTAAACTGCTGGCCGTAGCAAACTTACAGGATGAAGTTCTTTATTGTTTATGGTTTGTGGGTTGATGTATTCATGCCTTGTTTATTTGTGAAATGAACAAAAATCAGTAAGCAGGCATGAACAGAAATTTGGCCACGCAATCAATTGTACTTTTTTTCCTCCAGTCTTCCAAGGACCTTACAAGGAAATTCGCTGAACTAGGTCTAAGCTGTAAGCTGCCTTTAGAAAAAAAAAGTCATTAGAGGATGCACCAAATTGTGACATTATGCCCTTAAGCCAAAATAACATTGAATGGAGTTCCTACCTCGCATTAACCTCCTGAATAAGGGTCTTAAATTTGATAGCAAGCTATTGTCATAGACAAGTGGCATTGGCCAACAGTAGAAGGAAATTACCCCACTATACTCTCACAATTTAAGCAATACACTTAAGTTTTCACTCTATTTCAGACAGTTAAAGGAAATTTGCAAGTCAACTATGTACCAGAATATAAATTGTACCTGAACTGCATATACCAACTGTATTATGATTACATGTATGGTTAAGACATTATTAATTTTGCTAATATAATTGATATATATAAGGAGAAATTGAAGTAGGTCACATTCTGTGACACATGTTTGAGATTGAAATGCATAATTCTGGGTAATAAAATAGTGCCTTAAAAATATTCTAGCAATACAATAGACAAAAGGTATAATTTCTAATTTAAATCTATTGTTATTCATACTGACTTTGAGAAACTTAGTATGACTGAGTAGATTATATTTTATTATTAGCTTAGTTTTTTAGGTTGTTATGATACATTATACTGGATCTAATTAAATGTATAGAAATTACTGATCTATTGAATTAGTGAAAAATCACAAGTAATCATAATGCAGTTAATAGTATGGGGAGATTTTCTTCTTTAAGAATAAAGGAAAATAAAGAAAGGTTTTGTTATATACAAATAAGAAAAATAAAATACCTGTGTAAGATATGGAATAAAGTTTTAACCATTGGTAGCAAATCAGCAGAATGAAATAATACATAAAAGATTTTACTAATTTTTGGAAAAGGTGATGTTTTAAGGTAAAATAGTGTACTAGTTTAATGAAATTTTAATGTAAATTTTTTTGTTATATTCTTAAATGTTTTGTATAAAAGTCATTTGATACATAGTCTGAGACAAAAGAAATAGAATTGACTGAATAGTCTCTAAGCAAATGTCTGTAAGTCCTATAATTTGGTGTTATAAAGAACAGGTATTTGGAAATAATATATTTATCATTTACATCCTGAACATCTCTGCCAGAAAAACTAACCAAAAAATAAATAAACAAAAACAAAATCTGTCCAGTTACTGTCCATGAAGTGTGTAGACTAGTGGTGTTAAAACTAATATTCTGAAAGGAAACTGAAGTTAGAGGTCCAGAAAAAGCTATTATGCAGCTCTAAGATTTGCATATGCTATCTGCTTGGCTCATCAGAGGTGAATGATAGTTTCCACTGCACTTAGTTACAAGCCAATCTAGATGCAGTTATTTGCATAAACAATTTGATTGGTAAACATTGCTCTGTACCTCTGTGTTGAAAACTTTTGGGGGAATAGAGACAATTTTTTTTATTAAACCATATTTGGGGTATATTTTCTTTGTGTTATAACAGAAAATAGAAGGCAAAGTGGAATGATATACAGATGAAATTTTATGAAGCAAATAATGCCAACAAGGAGACAAAGCGTAGTTTATTATTATTATTTTAATTAAGACTAATAAAATTATTTACTGAAATTACTTTGAAAAAAGAAAATTCATCAATGAACGTAGACCCATAATTCAGCCACTAACGTTTGAATAAGTTTTCACATTCTTTTCCCTCTACATCTTTATTTTTACAAAGCTGTGATGATTATGCACTACAATTTTATACATTTTTTTTCACTTAGCAGTAGGTAATTTTCCATGCTGCTATGTATTTCTTAAAACAATTTTTTTGTTGTTTAGCTCTTCAGTATTTCATCAAGTGATATATTTATTAAACATCTCTTGAATGACTAACCTGTGCCAGACATTGTGCTGAAACTTGTATATAAATTATTAAGACTATGTCTCTGGCTGCCTTGAGCTGATGGTCTAGACAGAAAAGTAGAATGAAGAAAACCAGCAAGTACAAGGTGATAAATATGGGGTGGGGAGCATTGAACAATTCAAAGAGGGGCATCTATATCAAAGCAGGGGCCATGGAGGGTTTCCCCAAGATTACTTTGAGCTAATTTTTTCCTTTTTGGTGAGGGGGAGAGGGATAGAGACAATCCCAAGCGGGCTTCACCCCCAGCATGGAGCCTGAGGCAGGGCTCCATCCCAGGACTCTGAGATCATAACCTGAGCCAAAATCAAGAGTCAGATGCTTAACTGACTGAGCCAACCAGATGCCCTGAGCTAAATTTTGATCTACATTTTAATAGGAACTAACCATGTAAAAACAGTGCATGTTAGAAAGTTGGATAGCATTTCTTGACGGACAAAAAACAGCACTGTTGAAAACAGGATGTATTCCCGGCTAGATCAGGTCAGCAAAAGTGAAAGGTGTGTATGGCAGTGGGGAGCGAGACTGTAGAGAGTGGAACTGCAAATGGCACTGTGAGCTATGTTTAAACATTATCCTGGAAGAAAAGGGAAGCCAGTGAAAGGTTTTAAGGTGCTAGTGAGTATAATAGCTATGATTTTTTATAAAGAGGGTGACTTGGGCAGCAGTATGAAGACTGTTTTTTGGCAGGGAAAAATTTGGAGGCAGAAATCCAGGGAAGGTGGTTCTTAAACTAAACCAGTGTTGAAGTGATAAAGATTTCAAGAGAAGTGAAAATGGGGATGAAAAGAAAAAGAAAGAAAGAAATTTTGGAAGAAAAATTCATGGGACATGGTGAAGTCTTGGTCACTAACTGGTTGTAGGAACCAGTGGGAAAGTAGATCTCTGACTTCTAGCTTGTGAAAGTTTGTAAGTGACTATCTTTTACCAAAAGCAAAGACAAAGGAACAGCAGGTATGGGGAAAGGGGATCATGATTTCAGTTTTAAAAATATTGAGCTTAGGTTGCCTGTGCCATCCGAAGGGAGATGTAAGATGTTAATATACATCTCTGGATCCTAGCAGCAAGAATTGTGCTGGAGTTTGAGGAAGCATCTGTGAATGTGTTATTGAAGTGTCAACAGAAATGTGCAGTGAGAGGTAAGAGCAAGTAGCTACGAATGTGCACTAATTGGGGAGCACTAAAATTTCATGAGCTTGAATATTCAGAAAACCATATGAGAAGTTGTGACCAAAGAGATAAGGAAAACTAAGAATCAAGTAATATAAAAGTGAAGAGCATCAACGAATGGTTTCAACAGAAAAGGGATAGTCAAACGTCAAATGTTGCATAAAAGTAAAAGAAACTAGAGCTAAATTAATAGATCATAGCTGCTTTAATAAGTTCAATGGAATGGACAAGGCAGAAGCCAATTTCAGTAGGCTGAAGAATAAGTAGAAAGTGAGGAGTAGAAAAATTCAGTGTAGATTATTGTTTCAAAAACATAGGTTATGTCAGAAAGTGGTAAATTAGTTAGTAGATAAAAATAATGTAAAAGTGAAGAATTTTTTTTAGCAGTGGGCTTTTGAGCATACTTATTTGCTGATAAGGAAAAACTAATAGAAGAAGAAATGTTAATGCTCTTTATAAAAGTGAAGCTGAGGATTCACAAAGCAAGTCCCCAAGGGTGTGGAATGGATTCAAAAGACAGAGCCCTGGTGGCAGCCCTAGACCTAGACATAAGAACCATCTTCCATGAGAGAGCAAGAGGGCTGCGAAAGCAGGTAAGTTTTTGAATGAATGAGTTTGATACTTAAACTAAAAAGAAAATATTATAAAGTGAGGCCAGAGGTTTATTAAGAGATTTAGTGTTGAAAAATTTAAGCAGAGATGTAGCTGGCTAAGGATATTGAGGAATTATTAAGCAAACAAATTCACTTACGTACCTTACATTTGTATTGTTAGCAGCAGGAGATTTTCTTCTGTTTCAATTATCAGCTCAAATTTGAGAAATATGTGTTTTTTGTGGGGTTTTTTTTTTGAGGGGGAAGGGAGCTGGAGTTTTGTGGGTTGCATGAGACCTAAACACATAAGAGAGACAAAATGTATACTGAAGACAGAAAATAATTGAAATGATATTCTTGGTAAAAAAAAAAAAAAGAAATGATATTCTTGGTATGTATAGAGGATAGAATGGAAAAGAAAATAAAGTTTGCTAGTGAATGGATAAATCTAAGTATAAAAGCATTAGAGGACTTAGAGAAGGGGAAACAAACCTCATCCAGTGGGAGAAAATGGAAAAGGGCTGTGAAAACAAAGTACGTAGGTCATGCGCAGGAAGAGTTAAAGACAGTTCTCACCTTAAAGTTTTTTATTTACCCATTGAAATATAGAAAGCAGTTCTCTTGAGACCAGGAAATGGATTACAAAATAAAGCAGTAAGAGGGGAAAAAAAGGTAGTTAGAAAATAGAATAATGGGGTGTAAAATTTCAGAAAAGGAACGTGTTTGGGTGACAAGAATTTAGGGTATGCCAAAGAGTTTGCATTACAGAGCTATGGATATGATCTTCAAGGAAGTTAGAGAACTCTAAGCTAAAGTGATGGGCGGGACAGCTCCATGGTTGTGGAAATATCAAAGATAATTTCAGTATTTGAGTTGTAAGAAAGTTGGCTCCAACTGCTGAAATCTTCAGCAAAAGTAGAAGAATGACAATAAGTAAAAGTTAAAAGAAAGGAGAACAGGTGTCCCAGCTGTTGGCATGATCTTTGAATAAAGTGACTCACCGGAGGCTGGAGAAGGGTAGAAAGGGCAATAAAGGACAACAAAAATGCCTATCTGCAAGTGTAACAGTTGTGCATTCTCATGAGAAACAAAGAAAAACCTCAACAATTTGGAAAGAACCCAGATATACATGATAAAGCAAAAATGTTTCAAGATACAAATAATGTTGCCCCAACAAGAAGCCATAAATATTCTAGAAGACAAAAACATAAATGAAATACATTTGAAAATATATAGGATAGTAAAGTAAAATACTGTCTAAAAGCACCAGGATTATATGAAATTTTCTTAGTATAGAACGAACGTGAGATTTGCTCAAAGTGGAATCTTTTCTCCCACTGGATGAGGTTTGTTTCCCCTTCTCTAAGTCCTCTAATGCTTTAATAAGGTTTTAATGGTAGCAAATAGCAGGCCTATATATTTCAAAAACAAATAAATATAATTATAAATATATATAAGCGTATAAACATATAGAGTTACTCATGATTATTCAGTTTTGATTCAAAGCACATTTAAATTTATTTAATTTATATATTCATATATTGCATATTTGTATTATTCATTTATGTATTATATATATTACATATAATAAATATATTTGTGTGCAATTTGAATGAAAGCAGTGATCATGAATTTTCCAGGGACAAGACATTTTTGTCAGCTATTTAAATAAATATGAACGGCTCAGAGGTTGAGGTGTGGCATATATAGAAAAATGTCAGTTTCATTAAGGAAGAATTATGCTCTATTGCTTTAAAGAGAGGATCATTGCGTGAGTACATAGAGGTAGTTTGGATATCACAAATAAAATTGATAGTATAAACAATTCAATTCATTGCCAGCCATTATCCTAGACACTAGGGATACAGAATGCTGGGGAAGTCTTGAGCCTATCTTGGAAGTACTCCCTCAGTTACACCGAATTCAGAGACAGGTCATTTGTCTCCACATTTTCCCTATGAGCATATCAACGGTGAGCCCAACATAGCTAGGTGCTGAGAGATTTGGCTTCTCAAGAATTAGCAACACAGGCAATTATACATATTGTCAGGAATACAAGCTCAAACTCTCTGTAGCTACAAAACCTTGCCTGAAAAAAATAGTCTCTGGTCAGAATTGCTACTCAGTAAGCTATTCTTTTAGATATTATAAAATCTCTTCTTGAATTAAACCAGCAGAGAGCCGTTCCTGACCATGTATATCTCTTCTCTATAGAATTACTACCTTGAGGGTCCCTGTAAGAAATGGCTCCAATGAAACTCATTGTTGTGTTCACTATAAAGAAGATGTTGTCCATTAAATTCACAATATCTACTTTAAGAAGAGAAATTTCTGTCAGGTGTAAGTATCAGAAATAGTTGAATAGTATTTATCCTGCAGATTCTGCTTGTGTGATCTTCAGGGCATTGAATTGACCAGGTTTCCTTTTTAATAGTGTCTGCTAGAAAGCTTAGACTTATGTTTGTGACTTGCTTGCAGAAGGTATATAGGTTCTATTTTATACACCACACTTACTTATTCCTTTATTTTTTTTCCTCAGCTAGTTTATTTTTTTCTGTTGTGTTTGTGCTTCTAGTTATATGGGATTTCTCTAGATGGAGTAGGAATAAAGGAGAGGAGAGAAAGGGAGATTCTACTATATGCAAAATACCATAATACATGAGTGAAAAAGAATCTGCCTTCAGGTAGCTTACAGTCTAGAATGGATAATTGATTCATAGAAAAACTATGACATAAGGGAGAAACAGTATTTTTTCTAGAAACTAATATTCCATGATAAGATAAATGAAGTTATCCTAAGAATGGTTAGAGTAATGTAGTGCATTATTAATACACTAAAAACTTACATTTAATTGGTTCTCTTGCCAAGTTAAGATATACAGATCTACTTGCATGATAGAAAAAGTTGAGCTGTATTAAGCACAGTATCTGTATATGACATAAAACTGATACCAGTTTTGTAACAATATGAATTTTTCTCCATTTCCATCAATCTATATTTATATGGCTTAAAATTCTATTTGTAATTGTAACATGTAGTTATTTATCACAATGCTTATTATTTTATATTAACAAATACTTTGCACAATTTGTATGGAGTGATAGAATTTCTTCATAGCTTATATCTTTGTATTTATGTTGTGTAAGACCCAAATATTTCAAAGACCATAGTTACAGATTTTAAGTTGCACTTTCAAGAGCGATCATTTCATTTTGTGATTATTAAACTAAGAAACTGTAAAGAACTCTAAAAGAGATATAACCCTCTGAAATCAGAACAGGAAACATTTGTACTTAGAGATTTCACAGACTTTTCTTGTTAGCCTCTTTCAGTGTTTTACATACAGGAATTTAACACAGGTGACCTTAGGTTGCAGGAACCCTTTAACTCCCTGAAATCATAAGTTTCATTTCTTGGGTTGTGAAAGTATCTAAAGCAGGGCATTTTCCCGAGCAAAGATTTCATGGTCTTCCTGATCATCTGTCTACAAAGTGGAGGAGCCACTTCATGAAACAAATGCCTGGCATGTCCCACAAAACAAGACATCTTTGAACTTAATGAATTTCATAGCTGGTATTTGTTTTAGGGATAGAGAGATCAGCTGGTATATGCAGCTGCAGAGATTGAGGAAAGTTGGGCTTGTTTTATTTAAAGGTGGTGATGAATATTATCTTTACACAATAATGCACAAAGGTGTTCCCTAACCTGACCACCAAAGGAAACAAGATTGTATTTAACAATTGATTTGAAAGTGATAATATTGGCTTTTTTTTTCTCCACGAAGTAGAATGATTTTGTCATTATGCATTCCCATAGTACAGAGAGACAGAGCTTTGTTTAGCTATTCTGAAGCTTAAAATCTGACATGTATAGACAGGAAACAGCACACTGCTATCCAGCCTCTCAAACAAATGTCATTTTTATAAGAATTTTAAGCTAACGGTTGGAATCTGACAGAAGAAATATAAAAGCTTGTTCTATTCAACCACCCCTCTGCATTATATTTCATTGTAACCCTGGATTTATTATTTCTGTCAACTTTCTAATTCTTGTTTTTGGGTAATAAACCGAGGATAGATAGTTAGAGAATGACACTTGAAGTTAGTGACATGAGACTGGGGCCTTTGCCTGCTGGTTATAGAAGCAGAATTCTTTCTAGTGACCCACCCGCATTCTCCACTTCCACAGTCTTTAAGCATTTCCAACCAGCCAAATTTTTCTATTATCAAAAATCAGTTAACTGCATGATTTACTCAGACTGATCTCACTAGCTTAAATCTCCCAGTAAAATGTATCCCTAAGAGGAATGAATTGTTAAATTAGCTGAAATTGCACTTTTGAGAAACTGAAACAGGTGTGATTTGAATGCACATTTTACTTAGATTTTAATGTCTGATAGAAAAAGAAATTTGAACAGCTAAAAAAAAAAAAAAGTGTGTCCTCTTTTTAAATTTTCTTAACTTACCCCAAGTTTTAGATATGTGGACCTAACGGTCTGACTCTTGATGCAGTGATTTAAATAATAGCCTTGACCTTTGGGGCAATGGCCACTCTCTGTTTACCCAGATATAAGCAGCCAATTTACCCTTAAAATGAAAGATAACCATCTGTTCTAAATACACTAAACAATAATTGTCAAAAGCCACAACTGCATTACAGGCTGAAATATCTGATCAACACCACTTAAACATTTGAATAACTGAATTGCATGCAGAATTTTTAGCCAGACTAATTTTATTTTCTGCATTCATCAAAATACTTTGGGTCCACTCAAAATTTTTACAAACTAAGGAGTATTCACTTCTAAATAATATTGGGGCTTTGTGGTCTAAGCTTTTATAGCTTTTTAAGGTGAAAAAATAAAACTATATTTTACCAAATATCTCAATATGCTGGTTGGTATTTCTAACACATCTTTCAAATGCTCCTGCTTATGATGAAATGCTTAACTATTTTAACATGTTTGTGGGTTTTTTCCAATATTTATTTTAATAACTAT